TCAATAGAAGTAAGAGCTGGTTTTTGGAAAAATAAATAAATTTGACAAATCATTAGTTAGACTACAAAAGAAAGAACAGTATACTAAAATAAACAAAATCATAAAAAGATGAAACATTAGAACTGATGTCTCAGAAATAAAAAGAATTAAAAGACTAATGAAAATTATCCAATCACACATTAGATAATTTAGAATAAACAGATAAATTTCTTGTTATATACCAACCTAGCAAAACTGAATCAAGAAGAAATAGCCTGAGCAAACCAATAAGAGATAAGAAGATTAAATTAGTAATCAAAAACCTCCCAAGAAAGAAAAGCCCAGAACCAGATGGTTTCATGATGAATTTTGCTAAGCATTCAAAAAAAAAATAACTAGCCGGGCTCGGTGGCTCAGCCTGTAATCCCGCGCTTTGGGAGGCTGAGGTGAGTGGATGGCCTGAGCCCGCGGGTTCGAGACCCGCCTGGGCAGCGAGACCTCATCTCTACAATAAATCAAAAAAAAATCAGCCGTGCATGGTAGCGCATGCCTGTAATTCTGGCTACTCGGAAGGCTGAGGCGGAAGGATCGCCGGAGCCCAGCAGGTCGAGGCTGCGGTGGCCAGGAGCGGCCACTGCACTCCAGTCTGGGCGACCGAGTGAGACTTCCAACTCAAAAAAAAAAAAAAAAAAAAAAAAAAATAACTAAAATCAATCTTTCTTCAACTCTTCCAAAACCTAGAAGAACACGTCCAAATTTATTATATGAGGCCAGCATTACACTGATGCCAAAGCTAGACAAAAATACCACAAGAAAATAAAACTACAAGTCAATATCCCTGATGAACATAGTTGCAAAATCCTCAATATTTACTAGCAAACCAAATTTGACAGCACATTAAAAAACTTTATGAACCATAACCAAGTGAATTTTTTATTTTTTATATAGAAGATGGGGTCTTGCTATGTTGTCCAGGATGGTCTCAAACAATCCTTCCTCCTCAGTCTCCCAAAGTGCTGGGATCACAGGAGTGAGTCACTATGCCCAACCTCAAGTAGTGAAATTTATCCCTAGGATGCAAGGATGTTTCAACATCAATTAATGTGATAGAACACAGTTACAGAATAAAAACTTAAAGCCACATGATCACCTCAATAAATGCAGTAAAAGCATCTGAAAATATTCAACATCTATTCATATAAAAGACTGGGAAAAAATATATGTCAACTGTATATCTGACAAAGGACTAACATCTAGGATCGCAAGGAAGTCAAATGTGCCAAAAAAGCAAAAAACAAAGGGCACCATTACAAAGTGGACAGCAGATATGAATAGACACTTTTCAAAAGAAGACATATGAGCAGCCAACAGATACAAAAATGTGGTACATATATACAGTGGAATATTACACAGACATAAAAAGGACAAAATTATGAACGTCACAGCAACTTGGATGGACTTAGCGTCTATAATACTGAGTGATCTATCACAGAACCAAAGAAGCATTTTTTAGCAAACATTTTTAAACTTTCCCTTTGAGGGTGGGAGGATCATTAAGGTGATTGGGTGGGGGTGGGCTCCACGTCATCATCACAGAAGGCAGGTACACACAGGTACTGACATCAGGTGGTACACAGAAGGTAGATAGGTGGGTTAGTCACATGACAGTTGTCATGTTGATAGGGTCTGTGTCATGAAAGTCATGCAGTGCTGATTAGGCTAACTTGTTTACAAAACAAACTGGCGAGAGGGTTGTAAAACAATTATCAATAGTTACCTTAGAGAAACCGATTCTGTCCTTGGCTAGTGCTTAGAGGGTAAAATGAACTGATGGAGAAACATGACAGAATTAGACAATGTTTAAATGACTGCTTGTTAGATATATTGACTCCATGTTATAGCCTTTCACTCACTTACTAAAATAGTTGAACTCACAAAAGCAGAGGTGAATGATGGTTTCCAGGGATTGGGGAGGGTAGAGGAATTGGGGAGAGGTTGGTCAAAGGGAACAAAGTTCAGTCATGCAAAATGAATAAGTTCTATAGGTCTAGTGTACAGCAGAGTGACTATAGTTAGCAATACTATATTGTATATGTCACATTTGTTAAGAGGATAGATCCTAAGTGCTCTGACAACACCAAAAAAAAAAAAAAAAACTATGTGAGGTGATGGAAATGTTAACTAGCTTGATGGTTGTGATCATTTTATAATGTATACATATATAAAATCATAAATTTGTATAACTTGAGCATATACAATCTTTATTTGTCAATTATGTGTATCTCTCAATAAATCTGCTGGAAAAAATCAGATGAAACAGACACCAAAAAAGTCTGTTATTATAATTATCAAATTGTCTATTTCTTTTTTTATCCAAATTGTGTATTTCTATTTATCATTTTTATATGTGTTGAAAATTTGATGTTAATTGCTTACAAGATTAGACTTGAGATCTCCTCCTGGTTGTGTTGACTCCAGTAATCACTCTCTATCTTTAGTGTGTTGTTTGTGTCAAATTTTGCATTGTTTCACAGTTCACAGTCACATTGACTTGTTTTTGATGTTTTTCTTTTTTTAGTTAATCATTACCTGGTACATCTACTTTCATTCTCTTATTCTCAGTCTCTTTGTATCCTCATACTTGCAGGTGTCCGTAACCCTCATATTATATAACCTGATCATTTTATTCTTTTATTTGCAGCATTAGCTCAACTACATGTTTTACTAATAGATAATAACTGTATATATTTATGGGGTACATGTGATATTTTGTTACCTGCATACAATGTGTAATAAATACTCACATAATTGTTATTATATGTTAGCTATAACTTATAACCAATTTTTATTTGTTCCAACTGTTGCATTTCTCTTCTTCATCCTTTCTTGACTTATTTTAGAAATATCAGATCATCTTTATTATCATTTGCTATTTTATAAGCTTGTTTTATTGGTTACTATGAATATTATAACATGTATCCTTGTTGTTTTAAAAGCTTATCACAAATTGATATTTCTCTACTTCATTAATATTTATATAACTTCACTTTCAACAATATTTTTTTAAGCAGGATTTATTGAGAGGACAGAAGATCTCCCACAGTGGGAGGGGACTCAAGGGGATTGCCCTCAACAATATTTTTATACATTTAAACTCTGCATTCAATTTAAACTGTTCGATACATTAAAATTATTGGAGTTAAGTTAATATTGAGTTATACACATACTACTCTTTGTGATTGATGTTTGTCATTCTTTCTGATATTTTTATGTCTCTTTTTGAGATAACTTTCCTATGACTGAACAATTCCCTTCACTTTTGTTTGTTGGAAAATTTATTTATTTCACTGTCATTTCCACAATTTTTGTTAGACTCAGACTACATTTAGCTCACCCCTGTTACTGAGACACGGCCCTTCTGGACTTCTGATTGAGAGACTGATCATTGTCTCTATCCTCAGTCTTGAAAGCATTTCCCCCAATATCTATATGGCTTGTCAACTTTCATCTTCCATGCTTCGCTCAACTCAAGCCACAGTTAACTCCCTAAATTAAATGTGATTTCCACACTCCAAGACTCTTGCCCTGCTCAATACTTTCTCACACTTTTCTCCTAAAATATTCCATATCTTCTACTTAATTACTGTTCATTTTCTGCTTATATGCTTTAAGTGCTAAGTAGATGGAGATTTTAATTTCTGTGTTGTTCAGGAGTGTATTCTAAGTTTTTGGAACAGTGCCTAGCACATAGTAGGTGCTCAGTAATTATTTGTTGAATGAATGAGTGAAAGAGTTGGGGCCTAAAGAAAGAGAATATAGTCATGCAAAGTTCTGGAAAAACAGCAATCCAGGCAGGGGAAAGTCATGTGAAAACCTTGGGCATGGAAAGAGTTGTAGTGCTCCAGGACGGAAGTCTGGCTCTCCAGGACTGAGAAGCAATACGGTGTGGAAAACACAAAGGACTCCAGAGAGGCAGCACAGGTAGTAGTCAGGGCAGCAACTCCAGTTACCTGCCTGTACGTGCATTCTTGCTATAGTACCTTTAAAGACTGAATAACCTTGTTCAAGATATTCAAACCCATGGAATCTCAGTTATATCAACTGCAGAATACAGCTAACAGTAGACTGTGAAAATTAAAGGGTGCCATACATTCAACACATTTAAATAGTGCCTTGTCATGATAATCCCACAAATAATTATTATTGTTTTTATTATCATTTGTTAAATAAATGAATAAGTATACAACCACACATATATATCACCTTTATTTGAAGTTATATTCTAAATGCATGTCACCATTGGCTTGTACAGGGAGAAGTGTGAGAAACCTCTGTTTCTCCAGTTGAGCAAGTCTGTGAATAAACACAATTCTACTCCAAACAAATGTGTTGTGAGTAACCCATTGCTCTGGCCTAATGTTGGGAAAAATTGACTCCCTACGTGCTCACAGAATATAGGAGCTGGATTGAAAGGCGTTTTATAAAAACTGATGGAAGAAAATTCAAACTGTACATTTAGGCTCCCTGAGATCCTGAATGTTTTAAGTTCATCCCCATATGCCTGTGACTGAATGAACCATCTGTCCCTGAGGATCCCCTGCCTTAGGAAACTCAGGGAAGACCTCAAGAATGTTTGTCACCTGTGAAATGTGGGTGATTTTACCTCCCCCACAGAGAGTCAAATGAGCAGTGAAGGAAAGATACTCGATGCAGAGTGGATGTGGAGTAACCGTCAGAATGTGGCTTTATTTCATACTCATCATCACACCCATGAAACATAAACATTCTCTGTGATGGCAGGTGCTCAAGGGTCATAAACACAGATTTATTTTCATAATCCTCAACTGTACTCTAAAAAAGGGCCACTGGATCAAGGGAATGGGGTAGAGATCAATGCTGTGAGAAAAGAGAGATGATTGAGCATCATTTCAAACATGAGAAACTGATTATAGGAGAGAAGAGACTGGGCTGAAACCCCCTGAAGGACAACTCAGAGAGTCAGACATCACACCATATGCTGATTGTTAGGTGGAGGGATATCTAAAGGAGGGAGGCACTAAGGAAGAGAGGACTGACTAACTTGAATATGGAGCTTTCCCTACTCTCAGCAATTTTTTCAGAGCCCCCGTGACATCCTTGTTCCTGAGGCTGTAAATGACAGGATTCAAGACAGGTGTAAGAATGGTGTAGAAAAAGGACATTATCATGTCCTTCTCAGGGGTGTGGTAGGAGCTGGGGAGCACATAGGTGTAGACAGCTGCTCCATAAAAGAGGCTGACAACTGTGATGTGGGAGGAGCAGGTAGCAAAGGCCTTCTTCCGGCCCTCAGCTGAGTTCATCCTGTGGATGGTGAGGATGATAAAGTAGTAAGACCCTGAAATGACTGCCACAGGGATCAGGAGCATGAAGACACAGCATAGGTACATGAAAACCTTATAGAGTGAGGTGTCTGAGCAGGAGAGCTTCAGTAGAGCAGGGACCTCACAGAAGAAGTGCTGAATCGCACAGGATCTGCAGAAAGGGAAGGTCATGGTGATGGAAGTGAGCATGAAGCCATCCAATGAGCCCACGAACCAGCAGCCAGACGACAGGAGGAGACACGCTCTATGGTTCATGAGCATAGAGTAACGGAGTGGATGGCAGATGGCCACATAGCGGTCATAGGCCATGGCTGCTAGAAGACAGTACTCCGCGCCTAACAACAGCAGGTAGAAGTACATCTGGGTCCCACATTCAAGGACCGAGATGGTCCTCACCTTGGCCAGCTGGTTCACTAGCATTTTGGGGACAGTGACAGAAATATATATCAGGTCGATAAGTGAGAGCTGGTTGATAAAGAAGTACATGGGAGTATGCAGAGAGGAGTCAGTGTGAATCAGAAGTAGCAATAAAATATTCCCAGACACAGCAATCAAAAATAGACTGAAGATGAATAAACAAAGGAGGCCAGGGTGTGAGATCTGGTCAAAGATTCCCAGTAGCAAAAAGTCACCACCCAGAGTCTGATTGGCCATCCACATGTTGGAGTGATCTGTTGAGGTGACTTTACCTGGAAGAAAAAAGTAAACTTTTATGTTGTTTTTAAGCACATGTGCACCACACATAAGAATGCTTGCTTCAATTAATTTTTAAAACATCAATTTAAAAACCTCAGAGTTTATTTCCAACATCAAGTGTGAACTTGCACTAAAAAAAGACAGCACACTAGATTGTGAATCTGATTCCCCATCAAGAATAGAAATATAATATTTATATTCTCAATGGTGTTCATACTATTGAATTTAAAATATTTCTTATAAGAGACTATGTAGTCACCAATGCTTTCCTTATTTTTATTTGTATGTGTTCATATTTGTAATATTTTCAGGTGTTCATATAATACAGTGGCATGTGCCTATATGGCTTGAATTCCTCTCCCATGAGATTTTACAGAATAGATCATCAATATTATGGGTATTTTTATATCTGTGACCTTCAGAGTTCATTTTCTATAAAAATGGACTATTAATATTTGTATTTATTAATTTTAAACATATTAAATGTACAAATATATTAAACATATTTTCTCAGTATTTAAATACATCTTAAGCAACTAATAATTCTAACCTAGTTTTATACATAAAATTTCAAAACATCTATACACCAGTCACAAACTTTCTCAAATTCCTATAAATGTAAATAAGCACACTAGTCCAATTTGTCACTTTTTTCTAAAATGATTTCAATACTTTTACATACATGTGACTCATAAAATGTATTTCTGAACTTCTACTTAACCTATCACAAAGGTACTTTTGTGAGTTTTTATGTTTTAATGATTTCTATAAAGATTTTCTAATCTATTACGGTGCTGCTAATCTTTCAAAGCATCAAAAAATTATGACTGCCTCATATCAATGATTCTGAGGAATCGGCATTATCATCCAATTAGTTGTTTCCTCAGAGGCAACTTGAACTTCACTTGGAATTTCCTGGACTGAATCTTCTTTATACCCAAAATTAAGGTGATGAGATTTTGTAAGTCCATATCTTTTCTTGAACCACTCATTTTGCCCATCAAATTTTGGTAAGAAGAAACTTCAATCTACATTTACCTTATTGTGATATTTAATCTATTGTTATATGTGGGTGGGTCATCCTAAGGTTTCTTTTCCTAGTGGATAAAGCATGGGACCTCTAAAATTCCAATTTCTTTTACTTTTTTTTTCCTCTTGCCTATTTTGTTCAAGATTGGCCAAATGCAGTAGTGAGTAGAACAAGGAATTCCATCTGTAACTGACTGATCACTACCTTAGGATCACCAAGTTCCAATTTCTTCTCAGGGTACCTAATCAATTTATCACCTTGTAGCACACTGTGGGACTCTCCTCCTACTTGGTTATTTTGGGGTATCAGTGGTGCTAGTCAATCTTTTCCTGTTCTTAGCACTATTTCTCTCTTTTTCAAAATTCTGTGACTTATTTATAGATGTGTTACCTCTTCTTCTCTACTTACACAGGTAAAGAAAAATGCATATCTATCCTTATAAACTGAAGGAGATTAACAGAAACAAAACATTTGTGTTTTACACATTAATGCTAAATATCTTAATAACATGTGTTAAGTGTTGATTTAAATCAAACATACATTATATTCATTCTTTCTTTCCATGGCAACTTCTTTTTGGTACACTTTATATTATATTTCTTTCTTTGTTATTATTAACTTATAATTGTATAGGTAAGAATTGTGGCAATTTAACATTATTTCCTTTTCAATTTCAAATATTCTGGCCCAGTCAAGATTAATCTCTTGGTTGCTTTTTCTTTTGTTGTACAGATATTTAACACAAGGGAACACAGAAAGCATAAGAGTAAAATAATGTCAATTGGTTAAAAGTTGCTTTATAATGTTAACAGATTTAAAACTAAAGGGGATTAAAGGTATTTTCAGAAAATAAGCATCATATCACTTGCCATAACAAATGGTGGGTTATTTTATTCAATTTTAACTAATAAATTAGTAAGTAGGTTTATAATTAAAAGACTCATCTTCACAAAGTAGAATAACTTCCTAAGTATAAGGACAAAATAAAGACTTCCCAACAAACTTTGAAAATCCATTTAGTAGGTTCCAAAAGACAATGAAACAACAGCTAGAAATTTTTAAAGGAAAAATTTATTATTTAAAAATGCAGCATCTATCTACCATCAAGTAAGTATAAAGGTCCTGCCTCTCAGATACACAAGCAGTCAGAAAGTAGAGAATCTAGAAAAACTGCTTCAGAAATTCACTATCAACCCTGCTCCAGGCAATGCCAGTCAATGTCCCTCCAAAAGAGATAAAACATCTGCAAGATGTGAAAGTCATAATATACCAGGACTAGTGCTGAAAGCCGAGACAAAGAAACACATCTGTGTTAAACTGAATGATAACCATCTATCTGTGTCTCATAATATCCCAAAGAAAAATCAGGAGGTAGGAAAAGAAGAAGATGGAAGAGGAAGAGGAGGAGGAAGAAGGGAAGAAGAAGAAAATAGGCACAGGGAATTTTCACACTTGATAGGGTAGTAAAGGCATCAGTAATCATCTGGCTCTTTAGTGACATGAATAAAATATATTTAATGTCCACTTCCAAAGATGAAGCCCATTTAGGGACAGTAGTCAGGATAAGACTGGTGCTTGTCAGAGTTAAGTGACTCTGGGATCACTTAGGCCAGGGGTCTTTGCCTAGATCAAAGCAGGTGATTTATAATGAGAGTAGACATGCTAATCAGCAGGGCAATGGACATGAGCTAGTCATGGTGACCATATCTCGGGATTATCACAGAGAATAAAATAGTGAATATTACATTTCTTGGCTATGTAGTTTAATCTACAGTTTTTCTGAAGACACTAAAAGGAATAGACTCAGTCCATAAACTGCAAAGCAAAAACTATCTTTAACCAAGTCAACTTTAAATTTATAAGAAACAGATGTCACAGGCAGAGACTGAGTTATACAAGGGAGAAAAGAACAATTAAGTTCACTTGAAAGCAATCAGAAATTTTTAAGTAAATTGATATTTCCCAAACTAAATCCTCCATGATACAATAACCAAAGCTCTCATCACAGGCTTCTGATTAGTAATATCTGCACTACAGGAAGGTGAGGACGTTCCCCTTCCCCAACGGGCATTTACACTCCAAAATGCCATGCCATGCCTCCCCATGGAAAGAGGATTATGTTGCTCACCAGTGGGCTTAAACCTCTATCAACTGTCTCTTTGTCATCCACACTTTCCTCATGTAGGATCTGGGATATCCAGGATGTTTTTTTATTTATTTGTTTTTAAGAAAAAAGGGAAGAAAAGAGGGGTGGGAAGGAGGAAAATAAAACTTTGTCATATTCAATATCGCTTCCATGTTCATAGAAAAAATGCTAATAATCATTTCTTTTTAAGTCAGATTTGTCTGAAAAAATAATCCATCACCAGGAGGAAATGTTTCAGAATCTGAAAAGCCTCAAGATCTGAAGTTAACTATTTTTTGGTTTGGCTTTCTTCCAAACCTGCTGAGGTACATTGCAAGTCACCTAAAATTTTTGAGTATTTCTTTTCCATGCATACTCATGGTGATATACACAATTTATTTGTACAGCCTAACTGATAGGATTGTGGAGAGGCTCAGATATGAACTTGTGTACAGCAAGTACTTTCCAAATTATAGCTTTTTGTGTATATATTAGCTTAAGTACGATAATAATAAATACTAGTTTATGATATATAATTATAATAATTAATATATAATTATATAACATCAAATTAATATACAGTTGGTTTTGATATAATAATATAATAGTAAACACATACTTTACTAATTTTTGCCATTGTTTAAAAGTTAATAAATTAATATTGACAAAAATTATTGCTTTCTTACTGGGCCAAAAGAAGAAATACGATACTCCCTTCAACAAGGAATTATGTTTCCAGTAAGATGCTTCCAGTAGAATCTTCCCATTGAATTGAAGCCTTGTCATTTTTGTTTAGTTCTATCTGCTGTATGAACAGTGAGCACCAGGCTGCTCTTCTGCAAAAGAGTTGCAGATGAGGCAGAACTTAAGGACTTGGCAACTCTCCCTGAAGCAGCTGATGCTGCTGAGTCCAACATGCCTGGTCTGTTGATGACAAACTTCAAGGATGATGCTCTCACCAGGGTCCCCTCACAGGGCTGCAGTGGCCTCTGGGGATGCAGTCCTGGAGGAACTGCTCTTTGGTCCTTGTCGAACTGGGGGACCTAACTCAGTAGACTTTTCTCATTGCCTTGCTCCTATAATACTCCAATGAAAAATAGATACCTATGAATAGCCTACAATGATTTAACCAGAAATTTTCCTGACATTTGTCTCTCTGTCAAAAGATGAACTGTAACTAATCTCAGTCAGAGTACTTCCCACACAGGTCAAATTATGTCATCATCTCAGTATGAGGGAAAACAGTGAATTTTAAATCCAAATTAGGTAGTTGATAAGCTTAGTGTTTCTCTGTTGAAAGATGAATTGTAACCTATCTCAGTCAGACTACTCACACAGGTCAAATTATTGCATCAAAATAGTAAAACAAATCCAAATTAGTAAAACAAATTCAATTGATAATAAATTTAATAAACTGTATCCTATTTATAAATGTTTCTTGATTTTATTCAGAAAAACAGATCACAGTAGAAGATTTAGAAACTACATATAATTGTGAAAAGAAGAAGTAACATAATACATACTCCAGTAGTTAAAAGATAACCAAGTAGTTTGGCTTTTCCTTCCTTTAGGTCATTTTTATGCAGTTAATATAATTATTATAATTTTCTTTATAGGATTTTGTATCTTTTTCATTTGTCTTTGAAACTATTATCTTATGGCTACATCTTAAACCAAGTATGGTTGTATTTGAATTATATAAAATGTGAAACTACTAGGTATTTGTGTTATTTCTATTGTTTTCCTTTATTATTAATGTTAAGCAAATTGTGCATAAGAAACTATTTTCTTATATCCTGAAGATGGATGTTCATCAATGAAATAAATTTGTTAAA